AACTCCTGAGCTCAAACAATCCACCCGCCTCGGCCTCCCAGAGTGCTAGGATTACAGGCGTGAGCCACCGCGCCTGGCCTATAACTTCTTCTTATCTCAAAGGCCCCAAGCTTAGCAATGCTACCTCTTTTAAATTAACAACAATAATAGCAATAAGTAACATTATTGAGCATTGAACATTATTTACTTGGTCCTCTCAATTCTGTGACATAGGTACTATTAGCCTCACTTTACAAATGAAGAAAGCAAGTCCTAAAGTGCTTAAATAATCTGCACCAGGTCACAGACTTTGCATGTAGTGGAACTGGGACTCCACCTCCAGGAAGTCTGAATCCAGAGTTCATGCTCTTAACCATTATATAACTGTGCTGTAGTTAGTAATAAACAAAGGAAGGAAGAAAGGACTTACTATATAAGTACTGTAATATAAGTAATTAAATACTTCTGAGTATTACATAATTTGTTACAAAATGAATTTTTTAAACAAATAATATATTTAAAAGTTACAGTGAATAGTGTCTCTGATCTTCTTAAAAGCATAATGGGAGACATTTTATTTACCTCTCTGAATTTCTGAAGGTATAATTTCAGAGGTTCCACATAACTGTCGAAGCCTAAGGTAGACATGGCAAAGAGAATATCCTCTCCATTGATTGTTTTCCGTTTCTCTTGATGGCATCTTTCACTGGCTTCAGATGTTATAAAGCTGATGAACTCACTTACACATTCTTGAACACATTCTTTGGCATCTTTTGCAATCTGAGGAGAAAAACCCTAGGTAAATTTGCAGGGAATATAACCATCACCTTCCTAACAACCTGCAAAAATAAAAGGCTATTCAGAAGAACACATCTTTCAGTTTATGACGTAATCTTTAATCTCTGATATACATGCTAATAACATTAACACAATGTTGGCTATCAAAATTCCAATCCTGAGTCATAATAAAAACCTGAATACATGAGAGAGAAGTTTTGACAACTATTCACAGAAAACGAATATAATTTAGATATAAAAGAGCAATCACTGAATGTTCCTACCACCCCAGACAAAATGTAAACTCCTACTAACCAAGTGCCCCTGGAAAATCAGTCCCATTGTCTATACACCATGGGCTACAGACATAGGTACCACTTCTCTACTCTAGCATTTTGTGAATAAGAACACCAGAAAATAAAGAACAAAAAAACAAAATAAAAACTTAAAAACTAAATTCATGTAAGGCTTAGAAAAAGAGTGAAATAAGAACATATGGTAACGTTTTGACTTTTTATTATTGAGGATATCAGGTACAGGTTTTGAGTTTACTGAAAAGCCTGCCCAAGAAGCATGTACCTGCCACCTGATTATATTTAAAAACATTTCTTCCCTTAAGGGTCTGGGGTCTGAAAGTCAAACTCTAATGGACTGATGCAATTCCAGAGACACTTAGAACAGGAACACCACTCAAAATCCTTGCTACAACACACTGTCTTTCACCTCCATGCCTAGTTTACATACTGTAGAAAGTAAACAAGAGTTGCATAAATGCAGTCAAGCAAGAGAATATAATGTGAGCCACATATATAATTTTAGATTTTCTAGTAGCCATGTTAGAAAAAAGAAACAAGTAAAATTCATTTTAATAATATATTCTACTTAACCCAATATTTCCAAATTATTATCATTTAAACATAGAATCAATTATAAAATGAGATATTTTAATTCTTTTCTTCATACTAAACCTTCAAAATCTGGTGTGCTTTGTATTTACAGCACATCTCGATTCACACTAGCCACACGTCGAGTATTCCACAGCACGTGGCTAGTGGCTACACAACTGCACAGTGCAGGCCTTAGCCTGTGTGAAGCAATAATCAGCAGTTATACTTCCGTTCCCTTAAAACGTAAGGAGGACTTCTCATATCGGAAATTCAGGCTTAGTGGTGTATTTTAATAGTATCTTTATTTGTAAGCCTTTTCATAAGTACTTTTATAAGCTATAATAAAATAACAGAAAGGTTACTATGCAATATAAAACAATATAAAAAGCGTGACTTTTCAGACCAAGTGATAGAGTAGTGACAATGAGCTTTTAAAAGTTGTTCTAAGACAAAACCACTTAAAAAAATCGGACCAGTTGAAATGTTAATATTTCTAATTATGTAAAAATAGCTATTTCAGGCCGGGCGCGGTGGCTCACGCCTGTAATCCTAGCTCTCTGGGAGGCCGAGGCGGGCGGATTGTTTGAGCTCAGGAGTTCGAAACCAGCCTGAGCAAGAGCGAGACCCCGTCTCTACTAAAAATAGAAAGAAATTAATTGGACAACTAAAAATATATAGAGAAATTAGCCGGGCATGGTGGCGCATGCCTGTAGTCCCAGCTACTCGGGAGGCTGAGGCAGGAGGATCGCTTGAGCCCAGGAGTTTGAGGTTGCTGTGAGCTAAGATGACGCCACGGCACTCTAGCCCGGGCAACACAGTGAGACTCTGTCTCAAAAAAAAAAAAATAGCTATTTCCAAATACCAGGATTTTTTGAGAACATCCTCACCACACCTTTATCAGCTCAATATGACCTAAATTTGCTGCAACATTAGAGAAATTACAACTTCTGTGCCCAAACCTGATAGGTCTGATGATGTACCTACTTTTAAAAAGATTTTTTATTCTATTTTATCTGTTTCTGATAAGTGGGGGATAGGGAGCTTTTGGGGACTAAGAACTGAAAATGAAACACTGTTCAGTCACTGAATATGTAGAAATGAAAGAAATATTTGATTTGCTGAAAGGCTGAATGATGGAAATCAACAGCTAATTGTATTCTTTCACTATATAGTCACGGTTTTACAGTTCCCCCAAAAAATCTAGTTAAATTTCTCCTCTATGTTACCTTTCCTGTTTGAGGTATGGCATTTTTCATTATCCTAGCCACATTTGCAATTGGGAGATATATATCTTGTTCTCTAAAACTTTCTTTTGAACCATTTGTGTCTTCATGATCATTCATGCTGTCCTCAGTATCTAAAGAAATAAAAATATTTAAGTTTAAACATTCTTATAATTTTTATTTCAAGATAGAAAAGACTACCCAAAACTACCTAGAATAACATTCTGGTTTCCTTCCTAATCCTTTTTAGGGATTAGGATAAAAATTCCTTTCACAATTTTCACAGGGCCAGAACTAAACTTATTCATTAATTTCAAACCCACTGCCTCAAATTCTTTTATCTTCAACTATGCCTTCTAAAATCCTACCTACCCATTCTCCAAAAAGCTCAAATAAGATCTCCAAGAGTACCCTCAAAAGTGATCTTTCATTTCATCAAATACTACAAGTGCTTCTCTGTGCCCTGGCTCTGACACATCCTGTAACTCTTTTTAATTCTCATTTCCCCTATTAGATTTTTGCTCCTTGTTGCAGGGATCCGCTTTGTGTTTCCTAGGAATGGGTATAGCACCTTCCACAGAGCAGGTGTTCACAAATATTTATTGTGTGACTTAGCTATAAAACTTACTTACAGATGGTAACCTATGGCTCCTTGAATATTGCTAGATTGCAAGGTTATATGTTTATCCAAAGCCAAGTTTATATAAAATTCTATATAGAATAGAAAAAGTAGAATTGAATATTACTGACCCAGTTGGATTACTAATGTAGTAACTAGTTTTTCAACAAAGCTACAGTAGAGATCCAACTAGTCTTACAAAAAGTGAATTTTCACATTATATAGATTTAGATATAACTGGAGCTTTCAAAGTACCAGTAACATCCTTTTATGACCAAATGCAGTATCTTGTAAACTTCCCACTCTTTATATGTACTAAATATATAAGCAAGAAACTTAATTCAATTTACATTTTTATGTGTTTAAAATGATGTTATCGAAACTAATTTACTTGAATATCATTTTCAGGATGAAATAACCAATGCCCCCCCATCCCCCATGGGTGCCTTCTAAAAAATATATCTAAATTTTTTTATAATTTTACAAATCAAAATGCCACAAAAGTAAATTATTTTTCATAGGCCAACATAATACTGCCATTCTAATACCTGACATAGTTCAAAGTTAATACTGAATGAAAAACAAAATTAAGTCTGTACGTAAGTATGAGAAATATAATAGCTAGCTATTTAACTTGCCCTCTGAAGAACTATTTCACTTACTGTATCAATTGATTAAGAATGTCTCATATTTAGTACTTAAATAGGAAATCAGTAACAAATTTTAAATTTTTTTAAAAGAAACTGTACAAGTTTTTTAAAAAGGCATACTTTTACAATAAAGTTCTTTTCTAGGATTCATTACTCTTTTGAATACTATTTCTAGTAAAAATAACATGGAATGCCTTTTTAGACACAAGATTGCTGCTAATTTTCCTGTAAAGACAAAAGTAACCTAGAACATTATATTAATAAAGTTTCCACTTTCTAACTTGTTTCTACTTGTGAATTTGGTTCTAATTGTGGCTTCTTACCATCATGAGGCTGTATAACATAATGACTTCCTCCAATGTAGTCTGCAGAGATGCCTAGTTGAGAAGCATCTGTTGTAGAACTGTCACCATCCATCTATGAGGAAAAACAGCTTTTCAGTACTCTTCAATAAAAGTTGTACTAACAGAATGGAGTCAATGCTCACAAACTGTCATAGGATGAGTCAATTACATTTTTCATAGCCTTAGCTTACTAAAAGAAAACATTTATATTTCTTGATTTGGAAACTTTTCCATAATTTGCCAACTATTCAAGATTTCCCTATCCATCTTCCATAAGTGAAAAGAATAAGACCAACAGGGAAACAAAATAAGGAAATGAAACTAAAACATATGCCTTTCTTTTCGACTACATAGTCTTCAAATATAGTACATACAAACAACCTTGACTTACAACCTAATTTATCCCTAGAATGACAATCAAAGCCAAAATCAGCTTAGTAAAGTCAGGTGCAGTGGCGTGTGCCTGTAATCTCAGCTACTTGGGAGGCTGAGGCAGGAGAATCGCTTAAGCTCAGGAGTTTGAGACCAGCCTAGGCAACACAGTGAGACCCTGTCTCTTTAAAAACAAAAATCAGTTTAGTAGTCAAATGGAAATCACTTATACCATCACTTCAGGCTCTCCTGCTAAAGCCTGATTTTCCTATGCAAACCCTTTTCCTCCTGCTTCAAACTTTCTTTGCTGTCCCACAGAAATTCCAAAATAGATGACGTCTCTGCTCAAACTGTTGCTTGGTACAGGAAGCACGTGGGTCCCCTGCACAGTTCCATACCCATGCAACCCAAAAGTACACCCACGTTTTGAATGGGCCCACTCCCTCTGATTCTAGTCAAAGGCTATTTTTCTCTTCCCCTTACCCCTCAAAATTTTACATTCTTTAAAGAAAAAAGGAGGGGTCAGAGAGATTAGAGATCTGCATATAAAGATAGGAAAATTATAACCATAGACAAGAGAGTTAAAGTGACTATTTTCAAAGAAGTCTGCCTAATTAACTTTGCTGAGAGCTAAAATAATTCTGAGGGAAAACCAAGAAAAAAGTAAATCATAAGCCCTGAAAGGGCTCCATTCAATTTCACCAATATGTCAAATCCAGGAAGACCTGCTTTGCAAATACTATTAATACCATTCAAAATAGGGGACTGGCTATCTGTGAGTAAAAAATTTAAAATGTATTATCTGAATAAAAAGTGCAGCAAAAATTAAGTGTAGGCCGACTGCGGTGGCTCACGCCTGTAATCCTAGCACTCTGGGAGGCCGAGGCGGGCGGATTGTTTGAGCTCAGGAGTTCGAGACCAGCCTGA